GGGAAAGCCCCTCTCCGGGAGCTACGGGGCTTGGCGGGTTCGGCTAGGGCAAGCCGACCCTCGGGGCTGCCGTCCCTGTGCAGCAGCCCACAGTGCTCTGTGGGAGCCCCAGGCCCACGCTGTCCCCACAGACCCCGGCCCCGCCCGGGTCTGTGCATGAGGGCCTGCTGGCCAAGCCAGGCTGGACACTGCTGCCTCTGACCCTGAGGTCAGAGTGGACCTGGCCACCCTGGTGCCTTTCAGGGTCAACCTGGAGGTGATCCGCTCAGAGGCCAGCACCAGCCTGAAGAAGCTGCTGGACGCAGAGCGGAGGGTGTCGGCCGCGCAGCGCGAGGTGCAGGAGCAGTATGCTGCGCGTCTGCAGGCAAGAGCAGCGGCGTGGGCGGGAAGAGGCTGCCGGGTGTGGGAGGCGGGTGGGCGCCAGTACCTGCAGCCCATGAGGTGCCAAGCCCGAACCCTGCTGGGGATCGTGCACAGCGAGCGGCCGGTGAGCGGGCCGAGCTGGGAGCCCAGGGAGGGGCTCTGCTGGGTCCTGGCCCCATCCCGGGGCTGAGGGGCCGGGTGTGCTTACAGAGCAGAGGCCACGGCCTCCGGCACCTGACCAGGCCCCCTCCGCAGGCCAGCATCGCAGCCTCCCAGGAGCTGGGTCAGGTGCTGGAGGCTGTCGAGAGGAGGAGGCTGGAGCTGGCCGACTACCTGTGCGAGGACCCGCAGCAGCTCTCCCTGCAGGACACCTTCGGCACCATGAAGGCCTTCCGTGACCTCTTTATCCGCGCTCTGAAGGTGGGTGTGGGGCAGGCGCCCTTGCAGCACTTGGGCAGGGCGGGCAGGTCACTCAGCAGTCCCCAGCCCCCATCCAGTACATCACTCATGCCAGGTCCCAGGCCAGAGCAAGGAGACTAGACTGCCGGGCTAGGTGACATGTCACATCTGCCGTGCAGGAGAACAGGGACCGGAAGGAGCAGATGGCAAAGGCAGAGAGGAGGAAGCAGCAGCTGGCTGAGGAGGAGGCCCGAAGGCCTCAGGGAGAAGATGGGAAGCCTGGTGAGGCCGGCCGGTCCTGGGGGGCTGGGGCCAAGGTGGGGCCTCTGGGGAAGGGCTGGGGCCCGTGGGGCGAGGCCAGGGCCAGCACTCTTCTCCCTCCCCACACCTGTCTCTTCCTGGGGGCTGGCAGGGTGGACTCGGCTGAGGGTAGGCTGCCCGTGGGTGGTAAGTGGGTGGGCACCGCCAGCACCTGCAGTCCCTCGGGTCCCGAGCCTGAGCCCTGCCAAGTGGAGTATGCAGGGCGGCAGGCCTGGCGGCAGCTCCAACCCCTGCTCCACAGGCAGGAGGGCGCCCGGCAGGCAGGAGGAAGTGTGTGTGATTGACGCCCTGCTGGCCGACATCAGGAAGGGCTTCCAGCTGCGGAAGACCGCCCGCGGCCGTGGGGACGCCGATGGGGGCAGCAAGGCGTCCCCCGTGGACACCCTGAGGGCCACAGAGCCTGGTGAGACTCGTCCACTGCCACCTTACAATTCCCTCCCATCACCCCCATGCTGAGCCTTCCTCCAGGAAACCCTCCAGACCTCCCACTCCCCTGGGCTCCTGAGACAGGACAGCTGGGGGATCGAGTATCTGCTGCTGTGGAGGACACTGACGGGCCGTCCCCCCAGCATGGGGCTAGGGAAGGCTGCACTGTGGACAGGCTGCGGGCCCCACGGGGCACCAGAGGAGGGGGAGAGGCAAGCGCAAGGTTCTGGGGCAGCGAGGGTCCCAGTGGCCCCAAGAGCAGGGGCGGGGGTGCGGGGGGGCCAGTGCCCTGCTCTCCCCTCACTGAACAGACTGGGGACCCTGTCCTTCAGGGCAGTACATCTCAGACCAGAAGACAGGACGAGAGGATCGGGAGGGCTTCCTGGAGGAGTCCAGGGGCAAGCCCAGGTGGAGACGGCACCCACGGCCCTTCCCTGACTAGCCGTTCTTTCCACAGCAGCCACCAGCAGTCTCACCACTGAGCCGGGCCCTGCTGGTGGGCCCCGGGGCTTGGACCTGGTGGACGCCGTGCCCCCCAGCCCACGGCCCCACAGCAAGCAGTCGGAGGAGGGTAGTCCTGGGGCCCGGGGGAGGCGTAGCTCCTGGTACACAGATAGCAGCGACATCCTGGCCACTGGGGGCACCTGGAGCTCCCAGCCCGCCACAGGGGCCTGGCCGGTGACTCTGGGAGACGCTCAGGCCCTGAAACCCCTCAAGTTCTCCAGCGCCAAGCCTTCTGGGGCCAGGAGTTCAAGCCAAGACACTGACCTTCCAGTCTCACCGGGCGGCCCCGGCCAGGGGCTGGAGGACATGACTGGCCCTCCTGAGGACAGGGGTGAGGACGACACGGCCCCAGAGTCCGCCCTGGACACGTCCCTGGACAAGTCCTTCTCTGAAGACACGGTCACTGACTCCTCGGGGTCTGGTGCCCTCCCCCGAGCCCAGGGCCGGGCTTCAAAGGGAA